AATAGACTCTCTTAGTGCCAGTTTTTAAAACCCATACTATTGAAATAACATGGCATTTTGTGTACTGATGCCAGTAATAGATTCAAAGTTGTAATGAAGCAAAGAGGGGTGGTTGTGGATAAGGGCACTGAACAGACTTGTAAAAATATTTTAAAGGGTTCCTGTGTAATCATTAAAAAGCAATTTTTAGTGACTGCTAAATGCCAGCCCTGGCTGGTATAGCTCAGTGGATTGAGTGCCAGCCTGCCAACCAAAAGGTCACTGGTTCAATTCCCAGTCAGGGTACATGCCTGGGTTGCAAGCCAGGTCCCCAGTCGGGAATGCATAAGAGGCAGCAGATCAATGTATCTCTCATATATCCATTTTTCTTTCCCTCCCGCCACCAAAAATAAATAAATAAATAACCCAATGAAAAGACTGTAAGTAAAATGATGGGAAAAAACCAGCAATTTTAGTAGCTACCTAAAATCCAGTTTTAAAAAATGTCAATTTAAGACAACCACTTAAAAAAAGGTTTAAAAATAACATTGCCCCCCACCCCTTCTTGAGGGAAGGGAATGTTCTTTTAAACCTTTTTGTTTTACTATGAACATACATTCATAGAATAAGAATTCACATGTGCCCTGGCTGGTATGGCTCAGTGGACTGAGCACCAGCCTGAGAATCGAAAGGTCACCATTCGATTCCCTGTCAGGACACATGCCTTGGGTTTCAGGCCAGGTCCCCCACTAGGGGTCTACGAGAGGCAACCAATCGATGTTTCTCTCCCTTTCTTTCTCCCTCCTTTCTTCTCTAACATAAAATAAATAAATAAATATAATCTTTTAATAAGTTTTTTTTAAAGACTTCATATCCAATATAAAGGAAAAACTAAGAATCCCCTATTTACCCCATTACCCATAAAATCACTCTTAATGGTTTCTGGTGTCTTCTACAAGAAAATTAGTATTTTAAATAAAGAGGGCTTGTCTGGTAAGGTGCCCCAGGTAGTCTTTTGGGGCGTACAGGTAGCTCATGCCATGACCATTCTTTGATCAGTGTGCTTTTCTCTATGTATATTTTAATGAAAAGGTTAAAATGGAAGGCCAAGGTAAAAGGGAAGTACCAATACTTTGAAAATAAGTATAAGGAGCAGCAAGTATCCACTAGGGAAACCTTCTGAATAGTTTACAATTGGAGTCAGAAGGAGTCATCCTCCAAAAGAAACAAATTAGAAAAAGGTACCCAACATCACTGCCATGAACTACAGAAATGATGGAAATATTGTTGCATTACATATTCCAGATAAGAATTCTTTTTAGTACTTAAGGGACAATTACCCACAGCCTTTTTTGTAAAGTGAAATTGCTTTCTTCTGCTATTTTCAAATGGGCCCAAATTTCAATATTTTGCTGCCCAAACAGACCCTATTTCAGTAATGCAGTTAATAAAAAAAGAACATAATTTGATTTAAAAAAATAACTATGCAACAAAAGAACTGAAAGAAATTTCTTTTCATACTGTGGTCTGTTAAAGATGACAAAATACTTTTCTTTGGCCTTCCTGTGGAAGCAAAGGTAACAAAGTCTTTCTCAAATATTTGTTCTGTGTCTCTATCCACAACAACCTGTGCTTTCCTTCTTTACAATGTGAAACTGTGTTTAGAATGTTGATTTCTGGCATCAGTACAAAAAATGCCAAGCCATTCCATGGGTATAAGGTTTAAAAGTTAGCACTAAGAATTTATTTTGGGACAAAATGGATAATTATTCTACCTACAGTTTAAAGTCACATTTAAAAACCTCTAAGTTTTCACACTCATAAACAATTCTTGCCATCATTATTTGGAGTGTTTGGCCCCTCCCTGCCATGTGGGTCCTGCCTGAGCAGGAAGTAGGTTTCAGGCGAAGGGATGAGGAGTCTGAGATGCTAACAGTTTAGGATTAGGGACTGGCTCTCACTTGCTGTTAATCCCCATCCACCTGACCATCTCAGCTCAGAGCTGTGGCTGCCTTAGGGTGACTGCCATGTGCCCGCCAGCCTCCACAGCCAGGTATTCAGGCTCCATCAAGCACTTGTTCAACTGATGGCATGAACTCCAAACCACTTCCTTTAGAGAGCCCTAGCTCCCTGTTCAGACCCCCTTCCTATGACTTCACAAGCCCTGAGCAAATGCCTTAAGGTCTGTAACAGAATATGAACCCTACTATATGCATGCTAAGTTTTCAAACACAGTTCTCTTTAATGAGCAATGTTAGCTGACCGGGCCTCAAATAACTCTGAGCTGGCCTGCAGGCTCATTCCTATCAGAGGTCAAGCTAAAAAGAGTGATATTTAGGGAAAGAGTCCTGATCCTGGAGTCATTGTGGATACTCACAAATATTTGCTAAATCAAACTCAGCACCTGAACTTAGCCAGAAAAAGACTGAGTAGTTCCAGCATCATTTTTGCAGGTCAGTATTTTACTTCAAAGCACTACACATGGATACGAGCAGGACCAGCTTCAACACAGTCTATATATCAAGCTTGTTTTCTACAAACAAGGGACTGAGACGGAAAAACCATGAGAGCTTTGTGGATTCTTTCTAGAGAGATGCTGAAGGAAGAAAATGGAGATAAGATGTAGAGATATAGGAGCCACCATAAGGGAAGACACTGCCTCATAAGCAGTCAGCTTTCTATTCAGGTAGAAGAGCTGTCACCAACAGAGTGAGGCCTCTGGGCTGTTTCAGCAAACAGAAGTTATGCACTGGTCTGAACTGAGAACTCTGAGAGTCTTTCCTACAGTGTGTTCCCTGTAGCTGCTGCAATATGATGATGCCATGTCCACTGTGCTAAACGCACCTCAGGCTTTGAGACATCAAACTGTTGCCAACAAGTACACTGAGGCTTGGAGACTGGGCAGAGCACCCAGGACAGCAGCACCCTTCTCAGTTCAGGTATATCTTTAATCTCTTTCCAATCTCCTATCATCCAGGAATTTTCTTCCATCCAGGGCAGAGCATGTGTTACTCAGCAACTTCAATAAGTCATATCCCAAATCTGGAATAGGTGTGGTTAAAATAAATAGTGACAAAGTCACTGCAAGTTACAACTGGGAGAGGCCAAAGATAGGAAACACACAGGCCTTTAAAAAATGTGTCTATATTTTTTATTCTGATCTGTTAATACCACTCCATGTCCTGGCTTTATTTCTTACAGGCTTTAACTGTTTTCATAGAAAACCAAACAGCTCAGTAAGATGGAACTCTAGCAAGCCATGGTCCAATGAAGGACCCACGAACACTGCATTCGCAAAGGGCTGATGTGAACATTAATTCTTATGGCTACAACATTCTGGAATCGGGGAGCTGAAGACCTCTGTGCCCTGCCATGGCTGATTTGTCCATTTGGAAAGATGACTGGGACTTACCGTATTTTGTCGTGTATAATGTGCTTCTGCCAATAATGTGCACTCAAGTTTTTTGCCCAAACTTTCAGAAAAAGAAAATCTTTCATTTTTATTCAATTATTTATTTATTCATATTTAGAAACAAAACTGATTATTGTATTCCAGCATGTTATTTTGCACACATATATTGTTATTGCTTTCTAGAGTTATGCTCTTAATACATAAGCATAAGTAAAAGAATTAAAAACATTTGTATAGATACTGAATTTTACTACCCATGTATAATGTGCATCCTTATTTTTCCCTAAAAATTTTGGGCAAAAAGTGAGCATTATACAAGGCAAAATACATGTATATTTCAGCAACCCCTGAGTTTCTTCTAGTCTTTAATTCCATCTTCTCTAACTAAGCTTAAAATGACTCAGGGACTTAGGGGGGAGGGCAAAAGAGAGGGGGGAGGGGAGAGAGAGAATGAATATGGATAAATGAATTTGTCTTTGTTTTCAGTCCCTTTCAATGCAATGATGCTCAAGACTCCCCTTCTTGCCTGGTACTATTGGCCACAGAACTTCTATCAATCATCTCAACTTCACGAAGTGCTCAGAGGATTTCAATGTTTCTGTACATGACCTGGAGTCTGTCTCAAACTAACTAGGGGTTTTCTGTCTTTCTGATAGCCCCTATGGGGCTATCTTCTCCATCGGGACAAATGAATAACAAAATCATACGGAAGGACTTGGCAGAATGAAAACAGATCAATGAAACAGCCAATGTCCACATTTACTGCAGAATTACTCCTTGCCTCACATCTCAGGTCCTGTGCTCTGTCGCCCGCTGGGCAGGCACACAGACATTTGTTATTAGTGGTCCAAAGAAGGCCCACAGCGTCCCTCAAAATTTTCCCAGTGGGACAAACCACAGATGCTACAGATTCCCTGTTCCTTAGAAAGTGCCCAATTCGGCGAAAGAGGTGAAAGTAGGGAGTGCATATAAACTACCAGAAAAGTAAGGAATTGATTTATCTTACTGCGAAAAGGTACAGCTGAAGACGCGGAGACGACCAACACAGAGCCCCCAAGCTTTCAAGAGTTCACAGGAGAGCAAACAAACCGGCAAAACAACTACAAACCGTGCAACAAGTACCAAAGTCAGTCGAGGAAGCAGCAAGTCGCTCAACCGTGAAAAGGCCGGACACTTCAACCTCAGTGAGACCCAGCGGGTAACGAGGGGCAGGCTGCACTCTGGTTCCAGATATCCCCAACAACTCGTCCCGGGGCCCAGCACCAAGGCGCCCTAGGTGAAAGGGCCTGCTCCCACCTAACGCTGGGAACCGCGCCCCTCGGCACCCCTCGGGTTTGGGGTGCTGCCCCTTCTCAGCCCCCGGCCCCCTCCTCGCCCCTGCACCGCGCGAGGTCAGTGGTGGCCCCGAAACCCCGTAGCGAGATCTGGGCACCGAGTGGAGTGAGCCGCCCCTCGGCCTCCCTCCACCAGCCCAGTTGTCCCGCGCCCCACCAGTGTCCCCTACGCCACCACCCGCCCCAACCCGAACTGCTCCTCCTTCCTATTCACGATCCGGCGCCCAGAGCCGGGCCCGCGCCTCCACCACAAGCCAGAGCCCCGGCGGCCTCACCTCAGTTGGGAGCCGGCCGCAGCGCACGGCGCCGTGGGGCTCAACGCATCCTGGGGTCGCAGAGAGCCGGAAGTCGGGCCACAAGGAGCCCGTAACGAGTTATGTAACCGGCAGGGGCCGCAGCAGCCTAAGAGACGGCGGTCCGCGGCACTTCCGCCCCCCGTGCTGGGCCGGCAGCCCATTGGCCACTGGGGCTCCTGTAGGTCGCCACCTCCCCGAGGCCGACGCCGCCATCTTAGGAGCGGGCAAGCCTATGCTAAAATCTGCGACGGTGAAGCTGGGAAGCTGGTTGGGGGGCGTCAGCCCGGCTACGGGGCGTGTGGAAGGCTGGGGGAAGTTCTGACAGTCGACCAGGGTGCCCAAATGAGGCGGGCCTGAGCCTACGGGCCCTATGCGCAGACTGTGAGGTTGCTCACAGCTCTCAGCTAACATTTCCCTTGTTTGGTCTTGTCTCGTTCCTAGCCCAGGGAAGTGTGATTGAACGACTCACCCGACTGCAAGCAGCACCATCCTGCCTAGCACCGGAATTCAGGCCAACGGTCCGTTTACGCAGAAAGGCAGTTTAGGGCTGTTACTGTGTAAATAAATGGGCAGGGGTCAGTTGCCCTCAAATTGCAGGAGGGCCTATATCACAAGATCCAGGGAATCGTGTTGAGCGAAATCTGATGTTAACTTTAAAGCAGGAATTTATTCTTTGCCTCCCAATAACTTAAACAATGGATCATGTAGCCAAAGAGTGGAATAAAAAGGGCCTGCTTATAGCCAAGGACTACAGCGAACAATGGTTAAAGGGCTTAATTCATAATCAAGAGAGCAAACATCGCAGATTAAAAATCTAAATAAAATAATGTTAGAAATGTTAACACCACAGTCTTTTAACATGTTGACAAGGAAATGGTACCTAAGTAGATTTAAAGTTTTAAGGTAATTTGTATAAAGTGATCAATAATAGTATAAAAATGCGATAGAGAACCAGGAATAAATCATGCGTTATCTATCTATCTCTGTGTGTGTGTGTGTGTGTGTGTGTGTGTGTGTGTGTGTAGTGGCTGGTGGAATCCTGATTTATGTAAAGTAACCTGCATTTACATTTCCTTTTTCGTAGCTGTTTCTGTAAGTTCTTATCTTTTGTAAAAGGCCAATAACAACAACAAAACAATCACGGGCACAATGAAAACTAATATAATACTAATTTACAACTCTATAGAGTTATAGGTTTAAGTACTACAAACATACTACTGTAAGCAAAAACGCTATGGTAAACCATATTTAGGCCCATTCAGAAATGAGCACTGTACAGGATTTATTTAATGTTATTAAATTGCTTATTAATAAACTTGTTGTAAAACATTAAGAGTAATTAGAAAGATCCACACAATACATCGAGATAAAGGACAATAGGACCCTTAGGAGTGAGGAGGGAGTATAAAATGCAGACTTTGAAGCCCTACGTACTTTCTAGAGATGGGCTACAAATTTAGATCCAATCTTTCCAGAATCCACTTTGAGAAGAGTGTGTCAGAAGTGGCTAATTGTCCCCTAGTGTCCATTGTCCAATTCCTCCTCCTTCCCCTCCTCCTCCCCTCCTAAAAAATAACTGCTTTATTATATCTTCTTATAGGTTTAGAACCTTACCCTTTCTAGCAGGTAAATAGCTACTAGACCTATAGACCTATAAAATAGGTTTATATTTCTTGGCCTCTCTTGGGACAAAGGTAAGGCTGTGTGCCAAAGTTTTTACCAATGGACAAGAGTGAAAGTGATATAGGCATCTTCTGGGTCCTGTCCTCAAAGGGAATTTGCTTACATGTTAACAATTGATGAAGCTAGGTGAAGGGTACATAGATGTTTACTGCATTATTCTTTCAGATAATCCCATTTGAAAAATTTTAAATAAAAAGAGTTTAAGAAAAGGAAATTACTTGCTTTCCTTGTCCTCTCTCTCCCCTTTCCCTATGGATGCAGTGGTAAGCCCCTTCAATCACACAACAGAAGCAAAACCTGAAGTATGTCCTTGCTACTCAAAATGTGGTCCAGCAGCATCAGCATCACTAGAGACTTGTTAAAAATGCAGAACCTCAGTCCTCACCCAGATTGACTGAATCATGATTATGAATCAATCATAATCATAATTATGACTGAATTATAAATGCAATCTTAGTTAAAACTTAGTTAAATTGCATTTAACTAAAAGACTCCTCAATTAACAGGTTCCTGAAGTGATTTATATGCATATGAAAGTTTAAGAAGCACTTCCTCACTGATGACAGAGTAATTTTTCTAAGATTCAATGTACAGGTGAGCTTAAAATGAATTTAAGATGAACTGTCAAAAGTGAGAAGGGGCTCTGGCTGGTGCGGTTCAGTGGACTGAGCGCAGGCCTGTGAACCAAAGGGTTGCCAGTTTGATTCCCAGTCAGCGCACAAGCCTGGGTTGCTGGCTAGGTCCCCAGTTGGGGGCATGGGAGAGGCAACCACACGTTGATGTTTCCCTCTCTTTCTCCCTCCCTTTCCCTCTATCTAAAAGTAAATAAATAAAATCTTTTAAAAAATGAGGACATACATATCCATTCAAACTTTAAAAACACTTTTTAAACACAAATGAAAAAATAATAATGTTAGGTTGGAGTCGCTCAAGAAACTGGACGGACGCCGTGAGCTAAGGAGAGCGGGGTTTATCAGCAGGGAATAAGAGGGAAAGTGGAGCCAGCTGAGGGAGGTTAAGAGAAAAGTGGGTCGTACCAAGGGAGGTTAGGACTCACTCAGCTGTTCTTAGATCCGGATTTTTAAACTCAAAAACCTGCAGTTGGGGTATTAGACTCTGATTGGCTAGAGCCGGTTGCTGGGTGAAAGCTGCATTTTGTTATGCCCAATAAGCCAACCCCATACCCTAATCTTCCTGGGTAGGGTCTGCAGGCAACTTCAAATGGTGCCATTTTCTAGCCTGGTGATTTTCATTCCTCCTAGGCCTGCCTAGATCTAACAAATAATAGCTCTTTTCCTGGGGCTTACTAAGTGTCACACACTGTGTTAAGCATCTTACACAGGATCTCACTGATCCTTAGGACAATTGTTTCAGTTAGGAACTGTTACTGTAGAAATAGTCAAGATAATTAATTGTTCTAGAAGAAAAAAAATTCCGCTTCCTCCCACTGTGTGAATGGTATTGACTCCACCCTCAAAATGATGTTAATCAGCTCTAACCAATTTGGTGGGCCTTTCCCCTTCCTTGGTAATTGACTCAGATAACACAGAAAGTGGGAGGGGCACCTCTTGGCCCCAGGGATGGGTTCAGGAAAGGTCTAATCAGCACTGAGCTTAGTACTGATTGGTCCCTCCAGTTTTTGCCTTCCTAGTTTTTTTCTCTTGTTGGTGTGTTTTGAGATATTTCTTACACTTTATCTAAAAGACCACTGGCTTTGTGATGAGCATCTTCTCCTTCATTTATCTACTGAATTAAGTGAAAAAAAATCAGTTCCAGAAAGTTTTGCTACAAACCTCCAGTCCTTGTATTTATTGCAAGTAGCGCTGCTGTCTCCTCTGTTTTGTGTCTGAAGAGTTCTGCCTGCTCTCCTTCTCTCTTACTGTAAGGTCTTTTCAGGTTTATCATTATTTTTCTCTTGTTTAATCATGGCTCTTTTTACCCTTTGGCCATGGGTCAAGCAGAGAGATACCTAGAGGCACTATGAGTGAGCAAAGCCAGCAGTCTCTACCACTGTAGTCTAACCACATTCCAAGAGGCCATAGAGAGACAGTCCTTTGTGGAGCCCTTGAGAAAACCCCTGAATTCCTACCTCCTCAGCTGCAGAACTCTCCCCTTCTTCAGAGATAGGAAGATACCCAGGTTCCTCTGAGCCACACAGTGCAACAAGCTACCATCTATGTGAGCGGGCTCTGCCCTTCTAGAGCTCTAGTTTAATTACTCTGCGAATTATGGAAGTAATACATACTGTACCAAATAAGAATTAACTTTCTCTGCAGTCCCTTGAATATCCAAGGCCAAGATCTCTCCGGTAATTAAAGCATTTCAATTTCGCCTCTCCCCTCTGTTCCTAGGCTCTCATTGGCCCATACCGCTTGCACCAACTTGGGTGATAATACTCACTGCCTAAGGCCCCACTCAGATAAACTGAGGTTGGGGACAGGAATAGCAGGGGTTGATAATCAGGTTTCCCCACCAAATACCCAGACATTTGGGTTATAATGTTATTGCAATTAACAACCTTATACAGAAACCTGCACACAATTCAATTATTTCCTTAGGGAAAATTTTTAGAATGTTGGTTAAAATTTTTTCAGTGAGAAGACTCCTATTTCACACATCCTTACCAACATGGAGTATTATCATTCCTTACCTCTGCAATCTAGGTGAAGCTCTCTCTGTCTTAATGTGTATTTCTTAGTAAGTTTGACCACTTTTTCCTATTTTTATTAACCACATATTTCTTTCTTATATGATTTTTACAGATCTGTTCAACATGATATTTTCATTTTGATTTAATTTGGGGGAATTCTCTCCCTAAAAAATGACATAAACATTTTTTAGGAGTATGAATGCCCATGGTAAGTTTTTAAAGATTTTATTTATTTATTTTTAGAAAGGGAAGGAAGGGGAGAAAGAGAGGGTGAAAAACATCGTTCCATTGCCTTTCACACACCCCCATTTGGGGACCTGGCCTGCAACCCAGGCATGTTCCCTGACTGGGAATCTAACCAGTGACCTTTGCATCCATAGGCTGGCATTCAATCCACTGAGCCACACCAGCCAGTGTGTCCTTGGTAAATTTTTAAAAGCAGTACAAAAAGTACAGTTTCCCTCCCTTCTGACTGGGAAAGTAAGTTTCCCTTCCTTTTGACTCCGAGTGCCAGAGTTCTCAAGGTAACCACTCCTACAGTGTTTGGCATCCTCTCAGAGATCTTATTTATACAGACAAGCAATGTGACATTTTCCTAAATAAAAGTGAGTGTGAGTGAGATGAGGGCCATGCTTGGATATCAGATTCGTTTCCTTCTTTCTTCCCTCACGGTCGAGCACTGTGCTAGGAGCTGTGGGTACAAATGGTGACTGAGATACATTCTCTGCCTTTGAGAAGATGCATAATTACAAGATGGTTTGATAAGGATTTCAACAAAGGTACTTACACAGGACAATGGAATATGAGTGAACACATATTTGCTGTGTCTGCTACATGCTACTCATTGTATTACAGTACTTCTTGAACGTATTCATTTATTTTCCCATTGGCCCTGAAAGGTAGGTGTTGCTCTCCCATTTTACAGATAACGACAGAAGCCCACCCCAACCAGATATTTAGAGCATGCAGAATGAAGCTTCTTTCCCCAGCAACACCATGAAGGATGAAAGCCAAGGAACAAATGAACTGTTCCACCATCTAAATCCATGATGCCTTCTCTTGAATCATAACCTTCCTGACTCGCCCAGGAAGACAGCTAAGTTTCCAAAAGCAGCCTTTCCAGGAAGACCCTAAAAACATTGTTTTCAGGGCTCCAGAAACAGATTATGAACAAGCCATTTCACTGGCAAGCTCTGGGGACAGTCAGCTTGTTGACCAGCATCTGCTCTGCCTGAGAGGACTCTGAACCACCAGACAGCATTCCCACGAGAGGAGAAAGACTCCCTGGCGCTGGCTTGAGTGGGAGTAGATTATTCTGACTCATGGTTCTGAAGGTTTTATTAACATTTGCATGGGTCAAGCCAATACAACCTGGAACCAAATATTTTACTTTCAAAGAAATTCCCTTTCGGTGTAAAATGATGCAAGTGTGTAAGAGATCACCAAGGATGATACTGCTTGCTGCAATTAGAACCAAGACAGAGGTGATAGAGATAGTTACAATCATTATTCCTACTTTGCAAACCATGTGGTCTCTTAGCCTGGATCAAGAGAGAGAGGCTAGTATATTGGGACAGTCTGGCTCTCCACTTACATTGTCAGTGTACCCTGAGAGTGGGCTTACCAGCCAGTGCAAGACTGAAGCTTAAACCAAGTGATGCCAAATGCTGGTTTACTTGTTTCATAGTTAAGAGTCACTCGAATACTTGTATCCCTGCTCCAGACACTTCTCCTGTATAATATTCCTGGGAATATTCCTAGATTGCCAAATAGAAAGTTGTTGGTGAGCGAGGTATAAGAGGAAGGAAAACAGCGTCTTTTACTCAGGCAGCATATAACACAACAAACCCTTCCACAGTGTCAGGAAGGGTTTGTTGTCCCCCAAGTCAGTGTTCCTGGTGTCCGAGCAGTGCCGGGAGGGCGGCCACACTTGTGATGACCCTTCTTTCTCGTGGCAAATTCAAACTAGGCCCTTCTGTAAACATGTTCCTTTTCAGGTCATAAGTCATGCCTTCATTAACTTTCTAGGCTTCGGTGAAGATTACTTATTTCTACAGAAATGTGATTTTATTTCTGTTTTCCCAGTTTAATTCTCAAAATTCAGCCTTATTCCTTCTATATTCTTTGGAAACACCTCATTACTGGAAGTGATATGTGGACTACACTAATGTATCTGATTGCTAAAGAACCAATATATGATTTTATTTTAAAAATTTTCAGTTATAGAGCTCATACTTTGGGGGGGTAAAGTCCTTTAATTAATTAATTAAGTTAAGTTAGTTAGTTATTATTTTAATTGTTGTTCAAATACAGTTTTCTGCTTTCTATTCCCATCCCAGCCCACCCGGCCCCGGCCCTTCCCACCTCCCTCCCATTTCCACCCCCCATGCTGTTTTTGTCCATGTGTCCTTTATACTTGTTCCTGTAAACCCTTCCCCTTTCCCCCTGAAATTCCCTCCCCTCTGCCCTCTGGTCACTGTCAGCCTAGCTCATGCTTTTGAGCATTTATTTTATGCTACGTGTTGTATAACATATTATCTCATTTAATCATTCCAACAATCACACGAGGTAGTTACAATAATGATTCCTATTCTGATATGGAATAGGAAGATATGGAGAGTGAGGCTTATAGAGGTTAAATAAGTAACATAAAATGACAGGGCTGTTAGGAGAAATTTCAACCCAGGAAATCTAAATCCAGAGCCCTGACTTAATTACTCTGCTAATTATAAAGGAAATGTCTACGCACTGTAACAAATAAGAAAAATATAGAAAACTATAAAGAAGATAAAAGTTCCCTTTCCTCATTATCCAAAGATGATCTCTCAACATTAGTATGTCTCCTTATTGCTCTTTTCAGTATATTTTTTAATAATTATAGCATTGTATCTATAATTTTGTCTTATTTTTAGACTTATAATTGAAGCATTTCCTGTTATTAAAAAACTCCTTATAAATATCATCTTCATTGGCTGCAGTCTTTCCTCATACTTAGACAGTAGGTCATTGCCAATTTTTCTCTACTGTAAATAATTCTTCAGTAGCCATCTTCATGTTTTCCCATACATTTCCATTGATCTTTTTCCAGTTTCAACAAATTTTCTCAGTATGACATAGTGCTTATTGCCAGTTGCCCTTGATGTCTAATTTCTCCTTCGTTCTCATTACAATAAAACTTGTGCTTTGTACCTGGCCATGGGCTACCTAGAATAAACACATACAATACTTTCTAGCCCCCCTTAAGCTATGTATTGTTGTATGACCACATGACTACCTAACAGGATGTGAACTGAAGTGACAGATGCAACCTCCCAGTTCTGCCCTGAGACGGAATGGACAAGCCCTCCCTTTCCCCTTGCTGCTGGCTGCAATGTCCATGTGGTAGCAAGACATAGCAGGCTAGAGTCTCAAAAGAAAACACTCTAAGGGCAGTGGAGCACAAAGCAGAAGGAGCCTTAGACCCTTTCTTTTTCTTTTTTTAAAATGATTTTCTTTCTTTTTAAAAAAAGATATTATTTATTCATTTTTAGAGAAAGGGTGGGAGAAAGAAACAGAGAGAAACATCGATGTGTGATTGCCTCTTGCATGCCCCAACCTGGGTACCTGTCCAGCAACCCAGGCATGTGCCCTGACTGGGAATTCAACCGGCCACCCTTTGGTTTGCAGGCCGACAATCAGTCCACTGAGCCGCACCAGCCAGGGCCCTAACCACTTTCAAGAACATAGCTATCATACTAGCTTGCATTATATGTAAAAGAGAAATATATTTCTATTTGTTTAAGTCAATGTTACTTTGGGTCTCCTTGTATAGTTAATCAAATCAAATGTCCAATCAATACAGAGAGGTTTTACAAATTAGATTGACAGGGACTAAGAAAAACTATGAATAGTTTTAAACCTCACAATGCATACAGTGGGGATGAATTACTTTACAAAAGACATACTCATCTACCCATTTACCAGCAAAGTAAAAGCAGTTGTTTCACTAAACCTTCTTCATTACTATTAATACTTTTTAAAAAATTGACCAATATAGTAGACTTCATTTCAGTAGGTTTCCTCTACCTATGAGAGCATCATATACAGCAGGACACAGCAGGCTTCCACTCACCCCCTGGAACTCTTCTCCCCACTATGGCTGGCTCAGTGCCTGTTCCTTCAGGTACTGCCCTTTTGTTTGCTGCAGGGGTGAGAGGCAAGGCCATCACTGCACTCCTGGCCATGCTGTCTCTGTAACTTCTAGGTCAGTTTTCTCAGACAATTAAACTCCTGATCTCAACTCTCTAAATCTGATGGGCCCTTTGGGGACAAATTAATTATCTAAGCATGCAGTCCACTGATATACCATACAACCCATTGTCCCTTGTGCACCCTCACTGTCTAACTTGAATTCTCTGTAGATTTCATTGCTTTCCAGGACTTTCTGGTTGCAGCTTCTGTTCTATTCAACAGTCAGCAACAGTTGGTCCAGAATCTTACTTTGAAAGCATTTCTGGCCTCAATGACTAAAAGAGAATTCTGCTAGAGTTGACATGGAGCAAAGCCATTTTCTGGTAATGGGATTAACTGAGGGGGTACATTTTAGACATTTTAGAGCCCTGATCCCATTTCTTTTTTTTTTTTTTCATTTTTTAAAAATTTTATTTAGTTATTTTTCAAGTACAGTTTTTTGTCTATTTCTCCCATCCCAGCTTCCCCCATCCTGTGCTCCCCACCTCCCTCCCATTTCCACACCCCTTAGTTCTCATCCCTGTGTCCTTCCTTTTTGTTCCTCCAAATCCCTCCCCCTTTTTCCCCTTTCTGATCCCATTTCTGATGAAGGAACGCCTGGCCAGCTAGAGGTAATACTAGTTTCAAAGTCATGAGAGCCTCTTGTTTTTGGTGAATAATTCCTTCAGGCATGATCTATAGCCATCCTTTCCTCAGTGACAGACTGGATACTAGTAAACCTAGTTTTTTAACTGCTCGGTTAGGCATTCTGGATACCTGTGAGAAAAGCCTCTTGTTGAAGTTTGGGAAAAGAAGATAGCCTTTTTAATTTAAACTTCTTTGATGCACCGTGAGAAGGTCCTGCCAACTTCCCATGGATAACATACACTGAAGGCTGTAAAAACCAGCAACTTAGTTATTTTTACATAATGTGCCCTAAAAAACAATGCCATCTGGGAATGTTAAAAATACTAAACTTAGTAAACAATTAATTCTAGAAATCATGTTTAAAATTACCAAGGAAAATACATACACTGAGGAGTAAATAGTGGTAATATCTAGGTGATAAAAATGGCGTGCTTTTATTGTCTAATTTTTTCTTAGCTGCATTTTCTAACTTTCTAAAATGCACATAAACTACTATTTAAATAATAAACAGTTATGTTTAATTTTTTAAAGATTTTACTTATTCATCTTTAGAGGCTGGAGGGAAGGAAAGGAGAGGAGGAGAGAAACATCATTGTATGGTTGCCTCTCGTGCACTCCCTGCTGGGAACCAGCCCGCAGCCCAGGCGTGTGCCCTGACTGGGAATCAAACTGCAATCCCTTGGTTTGCAAGCCCACACTCAATCCACTGAGCTACACCAGCCAGGGAAAGTTGTGTTTAATTTTTTAAAAAATGATGTGATCTTCAGAGAGAAAGCAGATGTTTGGCTATAGAATGAATCTTAATACTGACAGATGATGATGATGATGATGATGATGATGATGATGATGATGATGATTAAAGGCTGAAATAAAGAACCTTGTCAGAAGTTGTGGCAGAAGGATTTTGAAAATTTTGATGATTAAAATGTTTCACCTGAACATATAATGGATATATAGTCAAGCACCTCTGATTTGTTAAAAATCAAGTTATACATATAACTGTCTTTTTCTTTCAATCTTGATCTATCTTAGACTTTATATCTCATCCCTTTACTTTCAGAAGGATCAGGTTTTTCAGCTTCTCCTTTCTTGCTCTACTTGCTTAGTTTTGGTAGTTATAATGTCTAGGGAAGATTCCATTTCCTTTCCCATTTCAGAGATATGGGCCATCCACTGAGTTAATGCCACAAGCTTAATTTCTAGCCATCAGAAACTGTGTTTATCTGTTTGTAATAATGAGAACAGAGTTAAAAGGAAAGAGCTATGAGAACCTCTCACTCATTCTTGGTGAAAGGGCCAAAAATAAAAATCAGGAGCATCTGAGTCCAAAATGAGACATGCCTTAAGTAAGCATACCTTTAAATATAAGCAGAAAGGAAGAGGGTAAAGAGAATTCCTTGAGCAGCACTGTGACTCTATGATGAACATGCTTTTGGTTTAGACCAATATATACCAGGCCATTAGCTCTTCTTAACCATTTATGTTTTGGATTGGTTTAGGTCATATGGAAGTTTGCCCTTATCATTCTTACACCTGTCCTTTCAATACCTTTTTCCTTCCTCCTGGAACAACCAGATAGATCTTTTGGGACCCATTCCCACAAAACCTAGGTCTTAGCTAGCTGTCAACAGAGGTCACTTGTGGCATTCTGTTAGTTATTTGTCTATTCTACTTCCTTCTTTTTCTTTTCCAACAGAGCCCTGATTTTGCGCAAATAGATGGTCAGAGAGTCTGGGCCACAGTGCCAAGTAGGCTTTTTATTTTTGATAATGACTGGATTAGGATAAATAAGCACACAACACAATGCATGTCACCTTCACCAACATGCTAAGGATGGCAGAAGAGAAATATGAAAACACTAGGACCTCGATGGTGTCACTGAACCAATGAATTAACCAATCTATAACTGCCCTACATTTAAATATGGTTTTGTTGGGTTTTCTGTTATTTGCAGCTGAAACTATCTTGAGATTCCACCAAATCCCAATACCTATTTTGTGAATTTTAGTATTTCAATAACCATGCAACCGTTCCTTGAGTATCCTTTTAAGTACATGCCTGACACTAGAATAAGAAAATACATTGAGACTCGCTCAGAATTTTTTATTAAGGTACCCATCAACCTTGGATTTTCATACAAATGCCTTTGTAAACTGACAACTTCTTTGAAAACAGACTCTGAGGAGAGGCATTCTGAGCTCTTTGCACCTGAGAAAAGCAAAGTTGTATATTGGCCAAGAGAACCTAAGCAATTTTTTAATTTTTAAAAATTTATTGATCTTCAGAGAGGGAGAACAGTGAGGGGAAAAGGGAGGAAGAGAGAGAGAGAGAGATAGATACAGATAGAGAGGGGGGATTTGTTGTTTCACTTATTTGTGCATTTATTGGTTGATTCTTGTATATGCTTTAATCCTGGATCAAACCAACAACCTCGGCATATTGAGATGATGCTCTAACCAACTGAACTACCTGGCCAGGGTAGGAGCTCAACTTTTAAATTCCAAATCCTTACACCACAGCACTGAGTGTCATCAGCATGGAATATATGTGGCAGTGGGGCAGGTCCAAAGTGAGGTATCATTAGACATACAACCTTCTGAGAAGCAAATCAACAGTTCTAATCCCCACTTCAGGCTCTGAGCTTGATCTCAGTTGGGTTGCAGCCTCCCCCCAGAACATAATGCCTCTAAACCAGTGATTTTCTTTCTTCCTTTCTTTTATTGTTAACACTATTTCTGATGCCACCATTTTCCCCCAGACCAGAGACTTTCAACGGGTGTGCTGCAAGAATTTTTAAAGCACGCAAAACCTGACTAGTCAGGAGCACTAACCTGTTTTCCCTTAGATTGTAAATTAAGCAACGACAGCCAACACAATAGCAGTCTGGTGTGAATGAACCAAAATTATACCTATTTTTGTTAGATAGACAAAAAACCATATCATTTGGTGTGCTGCAGAATTCTAGTATTTAGTTTCTGTGTGCCACGAGATGAAGGTTGAAAATCGCTGCCCTAGACTACATTGGGTCTGGACTAGCAATCCGGCCTAAACCAATCATAACTTCGACCACGTTGAAAACACTCCATTATTTTCCACGTACCCACAGTTAGCCCTAGACACAGGGTACTACTCGGGCCAAAACTAGGACCTCCATTTCTGGTCAGTTATTCACCTCACCCCAGCGGGACCCAAGTTTTGAGCCCACAGGGCACTGGCGGCTATAGCCAACTTTCGATACTGATAATCTTTCGGGTTCGAGCCTCCCGTTTTCTTGCTGTCGTCCTTTCCTGAAACATTTACGTCCCTCTAGACTTACTCTAACGCTCTACTTCCTCGGATTACTGCACAGAGCTCACCAAGGAGACCAGGCAGCGGAACCGGAAATACTTGCTTGGAAAAACCGGAAAGAGACTACATCTCCCAGAATGCCTGGTGACCTATCCTTCCGGCGTCGAAGTCAACACTGGAGAATCGACCTTTCCACGCTCACGCTGTCCAATCACAGGGCAGAGTTGCTTAACCTCTTGAGGCCGGCAGCTCAACCTTTGGGGAGATTAAGAGCGTGGGTCACTCACCGTGGCTTGTATTTGTGATCTCGGGTTTTGATTGGTAGTAACTTTCTGCTACTTCTGCCTAGGTAGCGGGAGGTTTCCCAAAATCGTTAGTTCTGGAGCAGTAAGTGGGGCGGCCAGCCCGGAAGTCAGCCCTTCCGAGACCGGGACCGTGAGAGGAGCCTTCGGCTCAGGTCCTAGAGGGGAGCGAGGGAGGCTCGTGGTGCTTGAAGGAGCTTAGCAGCGGAATTGGACATCTAAGGATGTCCCTCCCAGTTTTTCTGTGAGGGACTGAAGTCCCTGTGGCGACTGGAGGAAGGCACTCCCGCATCCGAAAAGGTGTCCACGCTCCCGACAGCGGGGGCCCAGGTGAGATCCGGTCCCTACCTCGTAGTCCTACTTCCAGTAGCTACTTTCTGTGCTCTGCCTGTCCTCTTTTAGAATAAGGTAGGCTCTATGAAATGGGAGGGCCTCTGGCCTCCATAAATCCCTTTCAACAAGCTGTTTTTGCTCCCAGGCACACAGGAGAAATGGCTTACCAAATTCTTACTTTCAGAATCACCATCTGGGAAGAGGACCCACGGTAGAAGGCTATACGAGTACCTCAAGTGTCTTTTTGAAATGCCGCTCAAACTACAGATATCCAGGCTTCCATACCTGTTGAATAAACACAAAACCTCCAGGTGATTGTTAATCACATTGAAGTTCTGTTGATTTATATAGGACTGGTAAACTTAAAGTAGAAGGAATAGGCCTGGATGTGATACCACAGTGAGCGTGTCATTGAGTGTCATATGGAAGAAGGAGAAGGACTAGCAAAGGGAAGGATGTTGGGAGAACCCTGAGTCCCTATCTCTCTTACGATTCTTCCTAGGCTGCTCAGTCCTCTCCTTTACCTTTAGCAAGGGTGTCCACCCAAGGCCTAGGATGGCTATGAATGCGGCCCAACATAAAATCATAATTTTACTTACAACCTTTTTTTTTTGCTTATCAGTTTTTGGTAGTGTTTGGGTATTTACTTATTTCTTGGGTATTTAAAGGATTTTTAAAATTTATTTTTAGAGAGGGGAAGAGAAGGAGAAAGAGAGGTAGAGAAACATGGATGTGCAAGAGATACATCAATCAGTTGCTTCTTGCACATCTTCAACTGGGGGACCTGGCCCGCAATCCAGGCATGTGCCCTGACTGGGATTCAAACCTGCAGCACAGGCTGATGCTCAATCCACTGAGCCACACCAGCCAGGGCTAGTGTTTTTTGTATTTAATGTGTGGCCTAAGACAACTCTTCTTCCACTGTGACCCAGAAATGCCAAAAGCTTGGACACCCCTGTTAGAGCATCCTTTCTTAATGTTCCCCTAGAGTTGTTCCCTCACCTTTCTCTTCTAGTAATCTCTTCTAGAACTTCACAGTTAACTGTCTTGGTCCTTATAGCACTGACCCAAAAATTATGTCCATTTTTAGCCCTGGCCCGGTAGCTCAGTTGGTTAGAGCATCCTTCCATAGACCAAAAGGTTTCAGGTTCAATCCCCAGTCAGGACACATACGTTTGATCTCAGGTTGGGATGCCTATAGGAGGCAACTGATCGGTGTTTCTCTCTCACATTGATATTTGTCTCTCTCTCTAAAATCAATAAAAATATATCTTCAAGTGAGGATTGAAAAAAGATATGTCTGTTTTTACTCCCTCCTTCCCAGGCCCCACCAGCAGCTCTTAGAACCCATTTATATCCCATCCTCAATACTCAGGAACATTTTGCACTATGCCATTTTTTCCCTTGCATTTAATGTTTCTAGCTCTTCTCAGCCTTCCTAGACTGAGTGAGGGGATGGTGTTCCCAGCTCTTGTCCCGAGGTGGGCTCTCATACTGTTTAAGGGACAAATGCTGTTTGAAGACCTGTCTGTGTATTTTTCTCAAGAGGAAAGTGTGAGTCTGCAACCTGCCCAGAGGTCCCTCAGCCCTGTTTTGAGAGTAAGGCCTTAATGGGTAAGGCAGTTTTCTCTGGATATTGGAAGTTTTGTCGGTTCTGTGATTAGGATTTCATGTCTAATCCCCATGTTGGTATGGGGGATTGGTACCTCTCCCTGGGTCATTTATGCAAATATGATAACTTGCATGAGAGTACAATTTTCAAAGGATGAGATGATTTGTAAAATACAAACATTCTTTCTAGTACAGTGACTATGGTTTGTCATGAGACATGGCAATACCCGGTTACCTTCTCAAATATTTGTTATAGTCAATTCACAATTTTACTTTCGAAACTCCATTAGTATAGGTTACTGTCGTTGTCAAAGACTAGAAATTGATGACTGTTGAGAGGGTGCTATGCTTTTTTTTTAACCTAAGGGGAACTCTATGCCTGAGTAGATTTTATCCCTGATGAAGGTTGACTTTTTGAACTATGCTGTTATTCATATTTTATATTTTTTACATTTTTCTTCATGTTCATGTTTTCCTCTATCTTCTCATACATAAGAAGTATATTTAAATAGCTATTCCTACATTCTTTCTACTAGTTTTATCATCTGTGTTATTTCTGGGCAGGTTGATTGATTTTGCTTCTTTACATGTCTGGTAATTTTGGATTGGATGCTGGGCATTGTGAGTCTTATGTTGTTGGAGCTGGCTTTTTATTGTATTTTTAAAAATATTTTTTAACTTTGTGGGGCAGTGCAATGCAGTTTCTTGGAATTGATACACTCTTTTCAAGGCTTGATTTTTACTTTGTTAGAGCGTGTTCAGAGTAACCTTTAGTCTAGGGCTGATTTGGTCTGCTGCTAAGGCAGTGTCTTTCTGGGGATACTGCCTATGCCTGTTAGGGAGTCTTTCCACTTTAGCTGTGGGAACATGAACTATTGAACTACTATGTGAACTCTGGAGATTGTTCTGTCTGTTCCTTTTTGGCAGTTCTTTCTCTGGCCTGGGGTAGTTTTCTCACATGCACTTACAGATTAGTACTCAGCCAGAGTCTTAAGAGGACCATATCTAGAAGTCCAGAGCTTTCTGCCTGGGCACCTGCCTCTTCTCTGATATTTTTCTGTCAAATTCTAACCACGTAGGCATCCCTGAAATTGGTCTCCTTAAATCAGCAAAACCACTGGGTTTTGTTTGGATTCCCACTCAATGTACTGCAGCCCAGAAATGCTTTCCAGGTAATGAGCTGGGTCAATAATAGGACTGTTTCTTTGGAAGAAAAGACCCCTTTTGTATTGATATATTGGCTTTATAAATTAAGGGTGTTTAAAAAATATTTAAAAGAAATGCTTTTTAGCAGGTCCAGGTTTTGTCAGCCATCCTAGCAGTGAGACTGATTATTATTTCCCTGTGGTTTGTGTAGCAATTCTACCTTGATCTTTCCTTAGTGCGAGATTTTAAAAAAAATTGGAGAACTCTCCTGCTAACAATAAAACTGTTTCTAATAACCAGAGTGTTTCTCTGCTAGGTAGAAAGTACTCATTTGTTCTCTTCCTTTCTTAATAATATGAATCCCACTCTCTATTCCAGTTGTGGTTACTCAGCTGTCACTTGAGATTGCTTAGGTGATGAACAGCTCTTGAGGCTCAAATAGACTAACTGGAAAACCTCACCTCTAGACAATGTCTATCAAGATTTTCCTTAGTTCCTGTCCCATTGGACCCTGACTTAGTTGTAGCTATTTTCTCCTTCCTCCTCTTGCAGGCTCACCTAAAAACTGAATTCTCTGGGAAGCCAGGAGAACCTGCTACTCCTGATTTTGTATATTTTCAGTGACTAAGTTATAGAATAAAGCACCTGCAGTTCCCTGATTCTCTGTGTAACTACCTTAGCTTGTTTCCCCAGTACTACTTCAGGATGTTGTTTATACTTTGGTTTGTTTTATCAACAGGAGGGGAAGGCAAGATTGAGAATAATCAGCAGCTAAGTGTTGAAACTATAGGACTTGAAGGGCTTGCCCTAGAATACTCCTCCACTGCTGCACCCTTTGAAGGAAAATACCAAGTGGAACTTTTGCTTTCAAGAAAAATTTCATGAGCCTTGTAGTTACCACTGAAAACTATACCCCGTTAATAGAATCATCTCCGTGTTAGATACCAGAGCACTTTGTGAAATTCTTGAATTTCCCAGGGAAGAAGACAGAAATCTGTACAAGTATTCTGAATGCAACCAAAGCTTCTGTGAAAATTCATACCATGTTTTACATCAGAAAACTCACTAAGGAGAGAAAAGTATAAATGTGATGCCTATGGGAAGATTTTCAGTCATAGAGCAAACCTGAGGATGCACAAGAGAGTCCATATTGGTGAGAAGGGCCTTATTATAATTGTGCTGAGTGCAGCAGCAGCTTCCACCAGCACTCACATCTGACTCAGCACATGAATGTCTGTGTAAAGGAAAAACCCTACATATGTGACATATGTAGAAGAGGTTTTTTGTGGCCCCCACCATTAGCACAGCATCCAGAAACCCATGCTAACAAAAACAACAACAAAAAGCCTGTGAATGTACCAACTCTGGTAAATATTTTGGTCAGAAAACAAATCTTGCTTTGCATGAGAAGATGCACACATCAGCCACCTAGTATCAGTACATTCAGGGCGTGAAATGCTTGAGGCAGCCTCACATCTTGCCCTCCCTGAAAAGGGCCACAAGCATGACTCTGAACGCTGCAGGGATTGTGGGGGAAATTTGTTTTTGTTCTCACAATTCAAACTTAAAAATGTCCCAAATGTGCGATGAGCTTTCTTTGTATCTGAGTTTATTTCTTTTTTAAAAATATATATTTTTAAAAGATTTTATTTACTTATTTATATAGAGAATGGAATGGAGGGAGAAAAAGAGGGAGAGAAACACCAACCAGTCGCCTCTTACACACCCCCAACTGGGGATAGCCCACAACCCAGGCACGTATCCCCACCTGGAATCAACCAGCAACCTTTCACCTTGCAGTACGATGTCTAACCAACTGAGTCATACTGGTCAGGGTTCTGAGTTTATTTCTCCTCAGAGTGTTCATAAATAAGAAAGGTCCCATAAATGCAAAACATGCAAAAAGTTTTATTTTGGACTTAGAGCTTGCACACTACCAGAAGAGTCAGACAGGAGAGAAGACTTTTAAATGTACTGTGTGGGGGGAGTTTCCAGTTGAATATGCATCTCATTTTTCATTAGTGAACCCATATGAAAAACATGTATATACAACAGATTTTCATTAATGCTTGTGCTTTTCAGTATCTATACTAAAAATGGGGCACAATTACCCTATATGTGCTAAGCACTTAACACACATTCCGCCCTGGATGGTGTAGCTCAGTGGATTGAGCACAGGCCTGTAAACCCGAGGATCGCGATTCGATTCCCAGTCAGGGAACATGCCTGGGTTGCAGGCCAGTTCTGATGCACAAGAGGCAACTGTACATTGATGTTTCTCTCCCTCTCTCATCCCCTTCCCCTCTAAAGATAAATAAATAGAAAATCTTTTTAAAAAACCACATTCCATTTAATATTTAATTTTCACCACAACCTTGATTTAGACACTATGATTTCTATTCCATAATTAAGGAAACATAAACAATGTCACAGCTAGAGAATGAAGCCAGGATTCTAACTGAGTAACTCAATTACTGTTCAAATTTCATTTGTACAAGTTGGAGAACATGTTTTTTAAATTGATTTTCATTAAAATAAAGGTTATTGCTAGAGTTCTTTTAATTTAGTTTACATGGTTTCTAAGGAAGCTTTAGAAGGAGGAGAATTTATTTTTTTTTTTACCAGTTCTGTAGATATATCATCTAGGAAAGTAAATACTTTTATATCTGTGGGTTTTTTCTTTTTTTTTGTTTTGGCTTCTTTATTTTTCATATACTAGAAAATTTTTAATGTTTTTTAGACATTTTTTAAAAATTTAAATAGGTGTTCCATGTTTGAAAACAAAGTTAATTTTTTATTCCTTGTTTTCTACTTACTAACATGCAAATTATAATCCAAGTCTTGTAAGTTTGGCCTTGGCATTGTTGCTCAAATCTCATTTCCATTTTCACTACCAGCATCTTAGGGCTCCTGTACTATCCAGGACTGCTGCAGTAGTTCATTAACATTTCACTCTGCCTTTTGCCTCTTGCCGTTTCAAAGTCCAATTGATTGCATGCAAACTGCCAGACTGCTCTTCTTAGCTGCTCTTAAATTATTTACAGCTTAAAATCTACCAGGAGTCATTTTGGTTTAACCAAATGAAGTCCCCCATTTTTCAATTCAGCTTTCCATATCTTTGGTAAGGGATTTTACCTTACCAGGTAAATCCCTTTCCAGACCTTTTTGATTGGGATTTTAGAGTGGTATTTACCTCTTCGGTAAACATTTAATATCATTACTTCCATAAGTATACTCTGTATTCTGAGCCAGTTAGAATCTGGTGCTGTTTACAGAATACATCACCTATTTTTTCAGCCCTGTGTTTTTGTTCTCCACCTATAAAGCTCCTTGCCTTCATGGTCCTACCTAAAAAAAAGTAATATACACCTTTAAGGTACACTGCAAATACAAGCTATTTTGTAAATTTTTTCATAATCCTGCCTATTCTCTTTTTAAAATATTTTTAGCGATTTGTCTACATTTCTTATAAATTACTTGCAGACCTAATCATTTATGCACTAGATTCATTCGGTCTTTTGCCAGGCTCTGGGAGCCTCGAAGAATGTAGCTGTGCCTTTTTCAATTTTATAGTCTTTGTTGTTGTTCCAGTACAGTTGCCTCCATTTTCACCCCACCACACCCCGCCTCCTACCCTCAAACCTATCCCCTTTGGTTTTGTCTATGTGTTCTTTATACATATTCCTTGATGGCTCTTCCTCTATTATCTCATATTATCCCTCTACCCCATCCTCTCTGGTTACTGTCAGTTTGTTCTTTATTTCGATGTCTCTGGTTGTATTTTGCTTGCTTGTTTGTTTTGTTGATTAGGTTCCACTTATTGGTGAGATCATATGGAATTTATCTTTCACCACCTGGCTTATTTCACTTTGCATAATACTCTCCAGTTCCATCCATGCTATTGCAAAGAGTAGGAGCTCCTTTTCTTTCTTTCTGCTGTGTAGTATTCCATTGTGTAAATGTATCACAGTTTTTTGATCCATTCATTTACTGATTGATATTTAGGTTGCTTCTAGCACTTGGCTATTGTAAATTGTATTTCTTTGAACATTGGGGTGCAAAGGTTCTTTTGGATTGGTGTTTTAGGGCTCTTAGGATATAATCTCCCAGCAGTGGAATTGCTGGGTCAAAAGGCAGTTTCATTTTTAATTTTCTAAGGAAATTCCATACTGTTTTCCACAGTGGCTGCACCAGTCTGCAGTCTCACCAATAGTGCACTAGGGTTCCCTTATGCTTATTGATTTGTGAATGTTGTACCATCCTTGCATCCCTAAGGAGAATCCCAGTTGATTGTGGTGTATGATCTTTTTAATGTATTGCTGGATGCGGTTTGCCAGTTTTGTTGAGGATTTTAGCGTCTATGTTCATCAGTGATGTTGACCTGTAGTTTTCTTTGTTGTGTTATCTGGTTCTGGAATTAGGATGTATATCTGTGGGGGGATTTACTATAACTATCTGAATGTAACATTTGTTTGAGATTATTACTGTTTTACTGGAAAGGTTTAGAAGCTTTATTTCTCCATGTGAAAAGTTCCCAGATGGGTTGGGACTAGTTAGTATCTTGATGGCTATTAGTATCTGTGGAGTTCCCATTCTCAGATCTGATGCTGTTGACCTTTGTGATTAAGTGTTTATAAGGAATTTTGGCATTTTGACTATAGTCCTTTTTGGTGCCTGGACTTGGTCAAGAGAAAGATACTTGCTCCTCTCTAGGAAAGTTTACCTTCAGTCTCTACCAAGGCACATTATTACCAGTCTTGCTATGAAAAATAGTAACTATTCTTTAGTGAGCATGCCAGATACTTTAGGTATATCAGGTAATTTAATACTCAGAATAAATCTATGATAAAGAAAGGACTGTCCTCATTTCATAACTAGGAAACAAGCTCACAAAGGGCAGTCAGTACCTTGCCCAAGTCACAAACATAGCAATGTGCTGAAGCTGGCATTTAGGCTTGGGTCTCTGACACCAAGGCTGTGCATTCTGCCACACTGCATTATGTGTTGGCATTTGTACCCCATGTTAGCACTGCAAGCATCTGAGGAGGCTGAAGTAGATGGATAAGGATGGTCGTCATGGAGGCTATGCTGTATATGCATATCCTGGATCCCTTCACACTCCTGTTGTGGTTTATCCCATGCCCGTACTTACATGTATGGTTATAAAGCAACAACAAAAAAAACTTTTTAGCCCTGGCCAATATGGCTTGGTTGGGATATCGTCTCATAACCTAAAGGCTGCAGGTTCAACTGTTGATCAGGGCACATACCTAGGTGGTGGATTCGATCTTCAGTTTGGGTGTGTACGGGAGGCAACCATTCTATGCTTCTCTCTCACACTGATATTTCCCACCCCCCTTCCTCTCTAAAAGCAATGAAAAATATCCTCGGGTGAGAGAGGACAAAAAAAAAGAAAAGGAACACTATAACTTCAAACTCCCATTCCTACTTTCAGGTCAGAGACCGCAAACCGTGGAGTACAGTCCTAATAGTTTTAATTGGGTCAGGGTTTAAAAAAAAAAAACTCCAAAGAAAAATACGTACAGAGTTTAACCAAAATACTTGAGAATATATAGGTCTTTAGATACTGTACGTAAATGTTGGAGCATTATATTAAGTGGAATGGTTATTGTTTAAAAAAAAACAGGGAATCTTATAAATATAAATTCAGAGTTTCTCTTTGAAGTGATATTGTGTACTTATCAGCAAAACAGCATTTAAGTGGGCTTTTGATTGGGATTTTAGAGTGGTATTTAGATTTTAAAAGTATAGATGTACAGCATTTACTAAAATGGGATTTTTGCTGGGAAACTTCAGGAGCAATAACAGTCCTCTTTAAGATTAAGTGGATGGCCCTGGCTGGTATAGCTCAGTGGATTGAGTGTGGGCCTGGGAACCAGATGATCGCAGCTTAATTCTCAGGGCACATGCCTGTGTGCAGGCCAGGTCCCCAGCGGGGGATGCACGAGAGGCAACCATACATTGATGTTTCTCTCCTGTCCTTCCCTTCCCCTCTAAAGATAAATAAATAAATTTTTTTTAAAAAGAACTATAAAAAAAAGATTAAGTGGATGGAAAGTAGTACCTGGAAGATGTGCTCTTTCTCCAGAACAGCAGATTGAGAACCGAATATTCGAAAGGATGCTGGCTGCTGCTAAGCACTTAATACTGGTTTGAGTCAGGAAGATACTGTTGGTGAATAAAGTAAAGGGAAACTAATAGTCCTAGCCCAGTTCCACCACTCCTTTCCCCCCTTCTGTCATTCTTATTTTGTTTCCAGTCTGCATTTCCAAAGTTGAGACCATGTGCTCTGTAGGCCGAGGTCACACTTGCTTCTTTGTTTATGATATTTTCACTCTTAGGATACAGGACACCAGTCTGCTGGGTTGTTAGGGTCTTAAATTTAAAAGTGAGGGCTTCTAGAGTTTTTTCCTCAGCAAGCCTCTCTAAGGTGCTTAAAATTGTGTAAAAGATAGTCTCAAGTTAGATTTGTCAGTCAGCTCTGGGATATAATGATCTTTGCTAAATATCAAAAAGCACTACCTCCCTTGGCTCCTGTTTCTGCCTTCAGTGGGAGCAGCTGGCACAGTCAGTGCCTTATCACACACTGGTGACTCTCATAGTACAGTTCAGTGAATGAAGAGTTGTGGGGGTGGGAGGGAAATCTAATTGGGAAAAAGGCCCCTACAAGCAGAGTTGCTGCAGAAAGAAATAGGAAAAATTATTTTAGAAGGCACTTGGACAGAATGGGTCTGATGTAAAAGCCGGAAGCTGTCGTTCCTTTCTTTGCTAAGATAGGGGAAGGTCAGAATTCATGCCAAAAATGTTGTTCTGTATATTCATTCCTCAATATATGGAAAGTCACCTTTCTAGATGAAGCTTCTTCACAATTAATTCCAGGTTTCACATTTTCCTTTATTTTCCAGATGTTGGGAGATATGTCAAATCTCCATAAGAGATTAGAAGAATAGCACTTTTACAAAAACATTAATATAGACGTGAGTGTAATTAAAATACCTCTTCGGTGTAATAATATTAATGATTGATTTGCAGAAGAAAAAAATTTTTTAAACCCTAAATGTGCCCTGACCAGTGTGGCTCAGTTGGTTGAGCATTATCCCACAAAGGGAAAGGTCACCATTTCGATTCCGAATCAGGGCACATGCATTAGTTGGGGGTTCAGTTTCCCGTCAGAGCATGTGTGAGAGGCAACCAATTGATGTTTCTCTCTCACATCAGTGTTTCGCTCCCTCCCCCTCTCTAAGTAAATGCAATCTTTTTAAAACCCTAAGTGTTAGTTATTGTGAGAGGGGCATATTTTCAGTAGTTACTTTATTGTGCACTTGCACCTGAACTTGATGTAGTTCATGCTTCTCTGAGCCCTGTCTCTGTTGGCTCTATTGGATACAGCCACAAGACTGACTGGAGGAAAGGGAATTGGCACTGGTGCTGTCACAAATAGGCAGGAAGTGTAATAGTGGCCCACTTCCAGTATGGAATTTAGCAAAAAGCTTGACTAAAATATTTCTCAGAAGGAAAATATTCTTATC